TGCTGTCCCTGGTGCTCCACTCGTACTCGATGCGCTACCTGCTCCCGGGGGTCGTGCTGCTGGGCTCGGCTCCCACCTACGTACTGGCCTGGGGGATCTGGCGGCTGCTGTCCGCCTTGCTGCCCGCTCGCATCTACCAGATGATGGACGACCGGCTGTACTGTGTATACCAGAGCATGGTGCTCTTCTTCTTCGAGAACTACACCGGGGTGCAGGTGAGGCACTTCCCGCGCTCCCGCGCCGCTCTGGTCACCCGAACCCCCGCGGGGACTCGGGCGCCTCCCCAGCCCCAGACTGGACCCCCCCACACCCCGGGTGATTTAGGGTCGGTCAGGCCTGGCCGGCAGATGCAGCCCAAGAACACGTGCCGCACCCATCCTCCCACTGCGGGGGAAGTTCTGTTTCTCCACTTGCTGGACCTGCAAGGGTCCAGCTGAGATCTCTCGGAAGCGGTAGTAACCTCGGAATCCCCCGCCCGTCCCCACCCCCAGATCAATCTGGTGTTACTCCGTGTCTTGGTGCCCGCGAAGTAGGTGAGGTGAACATTTTAAGTAGGACAGACGTTTGACAGGTTTTGGCATTTGATCCAGGAAGGTGTTGAACAGGATCCATTTGCACTTAGAGGTCTTTTTAAAAAGACTTCTTAAAACTGATTGATGTTGCTATTTGGGGAAGTAGCGCAACAGTCTTGCGTTCTTGGCCGGTACCAGTGAGAGCCGGGCGAGGAAATCGATACATTGTTACAGTAGGAGCCTTACTGTAGATACAGTTCTTGCCAACTTTGACTCGGTTTAAACGTGTGGCTGATCTTTTGTCGGATTACGTTTTTCCTGTTACTGTTTCTCTATAAAGATCGGAGTTGTACATTAAACTTGAAAAAAACAATAAAAGTAGAGGGCCTTCTTAAGACATTACTTAGTTATTTGAAGTCTTATAAAAATAACAATTTCGAGTTTCCCTTTGCTTTTTCAATTTGAAAAATGAGATTTTTGGTTATTCCAGCTAGCCTCTCTTTCCCTTGGCGCGCGCGGGCGGGGGAGTTGGGGTGGGAGAATAGGAAGGTATTTTGTATTTGTTACCTTGCCCTTCCCCTGCCGGTCAGGTTGCTACTATCTTGAGTTTCCAGTTGAAGAATTGATTGATTCCTGACTGAGTTTGCTCTAGTGAAGGTTATTTGTGGGATCTGAACTAGGAGAGGCCAGGGCCTCCGTTCGAATCAGTCTTTTTGACAGTGTTTCCTAGGAAAGAAAGAAAAATCGCTGTTTGCACATCATGGTTTCCTGGTAGTTGACTTTTAGAATGGGTGCCACTTACATTTTCACTAATTCAGATTGATGTTTTCGTCCATGCTGTTCACCAAGTTAATCTAAATGGATGATGTTATCATGGTTAAGTATTTAATTTCACATTATGTGACAACTCAGAACACGTCATTCACCTCTTAGAAAAATTACTTGTGGTGAATTACTTTTGTTCAAAAAACTAACATGTAAGTAAAGAAAGAAAAAAGAAAAAATGCTCTGTGTATGTTCTATGTAGTATAATGTAGAAAATGCCATTGGAGTACTTTAGGTTTAGCAATTTCTTATTTTTAAAAATGATTGTAAAACTTCACAGCGTTTCTGAAATTATACATCTTATGTACTGCTGACTGCAAATGTCCAATTCTTGATTTCCTAGCAAGTGACTTTTGAAACACTTAATCTACTCATTTTCCCCACTCTATTATTCCAATAAATCTACTAATAATCTTCATGTATTTATGAAAAGATGTCTGATAACCCTAAGTATAATTCAAAATTTTATTTAATGGATGTACCTTGGTAAAGTTTGTTAAGGATCTTAGAACTAATTGCTCACTGATCATGAGAGGCAGGCTTCAAAATAATAAAACCATAGACCCAAGAATTTCTTGTTCTTGATTTTTTTGGGGGGCGGGGAGAGGATGGAGCGAGGGAGGAGTTGTTTGCTGTTTAGTAAAGATGCAGGGTTTTTTTTGAATATGTTAGAGTCTTTTTCTAGATTGTGAGTTTCCTATGTCGACAAGGTACCTTTCAACATTCTGTAGTTTCTTTTGAGATTAAATCAATATAGGAATAAATAGCTATCTTTAAATATAAAACCCAAAGGAAAAAGACTTCAAGTACATTCTGTCACCTTAATTTTACTTTTAACCTATTTTTCATCAATAACTTTATCACTGAGATGTTTGATTATTTTTTTTCTTCTAATACAGGATCTCACTGTGTAGCCCTGGTTTGCCTGGAACTTGCTATGTAGTGCAGTGTGGCTTTAAGCCTGTGATACTTTGCCCTTCACCTTCTGAGTGCTGGGATTATAGGCCTGTACCACCACACCTGGCTTGATTAAAATTTTAGTTTGTTTTTCTTGTGTTTCTTAAAAGGCACTTTTTTCTTGAATTGTTTGACAGCTTTCATTTGCAAGACTAATAATGATCCTCTTATTCTGTATAAATTGTTGACTTTAAAGTTTTAGTGATTTAAGAGGATATAAATTTTTAAATAAATGAAAACATTAAATTATATACATTGAAGATGCATTTTTAAATTAGTTTTTTAAGAATTATTTTTATGTCTTAATTCTAGGTTTACAAAGAAATGGTTCAGGGTAGTTGTTGCACGATATTTTCTTGTGCGTAGAATTTTTCAGCTGAAGAGATGTAGGTCTGTAGAACATATGATGTGTTCTTGGCAGGAAAAGTTACTTGGTTATTCCATTGGATTCTAGGTAAACATCTGTTCTCTCCTAATTTCATACATATCTCTGTTGCTAGAATTATTCTTTATAACTTGTTTATCCCCCCCCACCAGAGTCTCTTATTTATACTGAAACTCAACTGGATACCACATTCACCACTTATTCCTTTAGAATAAGTAATAGGAATTTTGTAAATTTACATAGTTCACTAATTTGAGACTCACTGAAAAATGACGTGAATCTCTTTACTATTGTAAGAGGCATTGATTCAAGTAACCTTATTCGATTCTTGGGGCTGCCATAGCAGATCACCTCAAACTTAGTTGCTTAAATGAATAAATTTATTCTCACAGTTGTGGAGGCCAGAAGTCTGAAATCAAGATGCAGGCTGGGTTACATTCCCTGAGGGAGGAGAATCTGTTCTTTGTCTCTTTCAGCCTCTGGTGGCTGTCTGGTTTCTTGACTTGGGCCACAGCACTCCAGTCTCTGCCTCTTGGTCAGTTCCATTCCCTCCCCTCTCTTTCTCTGATTGGGACACTTGTCATTGGGTTAAGGCACCCTGCTAGAGAATCCAGGATAATCTTCTCATCTCAAGATCTTTAATTACATCTGTAAAGACCCATTTTCTAAATAAGGGAATGTTCACAGGTTCCAAGGTTTAGGATGGAAACATGGGGGAGCCACTATTTAACCCCTCACAGACATGAACCCTGTAGTTCTACCTATTTAATACTTTGTTATTTCTTAGTTTAACTTTACCCTATTTCTTTAGGTAGTTACATATTAAGACAATAGGTCTTTGCTTTTTTTGGCATACCAAAGTAAAGCAAGCCTGATTTCCTATAAGTAAGATTACTTTAAAAATAATTTCCCATAATATTTTAATTACTTACAAATTTACCTGCACTTATCCCTTAAATAGAACATTTGATTGTTGTCTTATTTTCAGTCTGTATATAATTCTATATAATAACCAGCTTCTTATTCATGATTTCATGCACTTTGAGTTATTAACCCTGAAATTACCATTTCTGATAGTATACCAAAGAATGAAACAAAACAAACAACTCCCCCCCCCACGCACACACACTGGAAACCTGATAAATTAGAGTGCTATAACCTCTATGTTGAGACTTTATTTATTTGGTTTTTTTGGGAGGGGGGTTCACCACTTTAAAAATTATAGAAAAAATTTGTATGTGGGGTGCTCGGAGACTCAGAATAAGAGGTCAGTGTGCATGCACCCTTGAACCAGAGTTGAAGACTTGTGGAAAGCTGAATAGGAAGTGGGAGTACTGCAGAGGGAGTGGCTCTAGCTCCTGAAAAAGGAGCTAGGGCAGCTTCATTGCTGCTCTTCTTAGTTGAGATAAAACGGGATTTATCCTAGTTTTTTTTATTTTAGAATTCTGGATGTATCTTAATATTGAGATTGCTGCATACATAACTGTAATAGCTGTAAGCAATGAAAAAGTCTTTCTATCATGTTTTGTGAAGCTGTTAAAAGTTAATGAAGTTTTTTTCCCAATGTCAGAATTCTTTCTTTTTCCAGAAATTTCTTTTCTCATTCCAGTGAAATGCACCAAAAACTCATCATTGATATTTGTAGGCCAGCAGTCTTGTGATATCGATACATGCCTCTTCACCATCTCCCAGTGAATGGGTTTATCACCATTTTATTTGTTTAAATAAGTAGATTACATTTGGGTTTACTTTACTATCTATTTCCCATTAATGGTTTAAACTGGTAATCTCCTCTCTCCCAAATACTAACATATCATAACAATAAAATTGGAGATTATTTTATTTTTGAGATGGGAGTCTTGCTGTGTAGTCCAGGATGGCATTAAACTCGACATCCTCCTGCCTCAGCCTCCCAAATAGCTGGGATTACAAATGTGTGCCACCACACCTGGCTGACTTTCTCAGTTTATATAAAATAAATTAAAACTTCAGTTGATCTGCTTTAAGTGCAAATTGGTTTGGAAAACACTAGAGGCAAGATAATCTTAAGATTTTGATGTCTATGTAATGTGCTCAGTTAGACCACTAACTTCTAGTGATTCATACTTTGCAATGAAACATTGTTTCACGTTCTTCAGAAACAGCAAAGGCTTCTTATCTAGAAACTGTTTAAAACTGCTTCTTTCTCTAGTGCTGTCTGATCAAAATAGTTCTAAGCTTCCTGAGTTAAGTTTGCATTCTGTATCTTGCTGAAAAGCAGCTAAACTCCTGGAATTAAACATGTTTATTTAGAGTTAGAGGAACTGTACAGGTCATCTAGTCTGACCCATTTTATCATGTCTGGATTCTTTCAATGTTCTGCCCAGATATTGAGAGCTTTCTCCAATATCAGTCATCCTGAGTAGAATGTGAGTTGCTGTTTGTAGCCTTGGTTTGATTTTTTCTCTGTTTATTCATCATGCATGGTCCTTTGGTTTAGTTGGGAGATAAAGGACTGGGCAAACTTGGGTGTGCCTGTGCCTTTGCTTGTTTAAGC